AAACAAGAAGTAGGCTGAAGCTAAAACATGCAAACATAAGAAACCAAACAATTAACTAAACAAAACCAAACCCCACAGAATCATAAAAGCATTGAAAACCCACAGGGATCCAGACATAAGGCAAGAAGATATAGAGTCCAGAAGGAGAAACAAGTCTCCACATTAGAGATATTTAAAAAAAAGTCACGTTGAATTTTGTAATAGGTCAACAAATAAAATATGGCAGACCTATTACCCTGAGATCACAATCCATCCATTTGTAACAAAATCATGATCAATACATTGGAAGTCTGCATAAAACCAGTTGATTCACATCTAGAAGGCTTTAGTCCAACTCTCTAATTCCAATCAGGCCCACAGCAGCCAGCCTCTGAGAAAAAGGCCTTGGTAATGATGAATCAACTTAATGTCTTCCATCTGTCTTCCTGGTCACACCCCTGGTGGTGGTACCTTTAACGTCAGACATTAGGACATCACCAACTTTGTTAATATTACTGACAGAATGGCCTCATATTGATAAGACACACGGACTCTGTTCCTCTGTTTAAACCATATGGCTGCAAAAAGTGTGAAATACAAGACTGGATCTAAAATTTAGTTAATCAGTCACAAAATTTCCTTCAAGTACATGCACCCATCCATCTATAAAACCATCCATCCATGCATCCATCCATCCATCCATCCATCCATCCATCCATCCATCCATCCATTTCAGGAATGTTTTGTTCATTCTATCATAACTAAAGACGTGTAAATACACATTAGACAGTTGCTTTTAACTGAATGATTTTTTCAGTTAAATGAAGTAGCCTATTGTTTCACTGTAAGGGTTCCAACTAATTTATCCATCTATGTTACGTGCATGTTACCTGACAAGGCCATAGCCAGTCGCAGCTCCTCTCTGAGGAGTTCCAGAAGCTCAGTTACACCTCCTTCTCCCTGGTCACATATAAAACAAATGATTTTGTTTCATTTCCAACTCTTTTCTCATTCAGACAACACATGAAAGTTTTTGGACTAGTTTGCTGGGAAGCTTCAACATGTATGAAAGTGCCCGAAGAATAATCAAAGAGGAGCTTCACCTGATAGGCGAGGCCCCATAAAACGGGGCGGCCGATGAAGACAGCTTTGGCTCCCAGAGCTAAAGCTTTTAGGATGTCCGTCCCTCGCCTCACTCCTCCATCCATGTAGACATCACAGCGACCCTGAACAGCCTTCACTACCTCCTCTAACACATCCAGCTGCACACACAAACGCACACACTTAAAACACATTATTGTGAAAACTTATTAAATTTTTTTGGACACATCTTCACCCATTTGGAGAATAGAAAATTGGAAAAATGACAAAACGTAACACTTTTATGACACTGCACAGTTTTACCCTGCATTTGAAGTGGATCAGTTTTCTGCAACATTTTCTTTTTGTTTCTTTTATATAAAAACTACAACAAATAAAGGCTTGCCACCTCTCAAACCAGAGTTTTAGACTAAGGCCATCTTGTGTTGAGAATTAGCTAAGTTTTAGCTGTTTTAGTCAAACCTTGAAAATAATGTGATGTTGCATGATGACATGCTTGGAGATGGTGATTTTAATGACTCTCAACTACTACCAAACAACAGTTTAGCCCAATATTTGTAAAACTGTCTGAGCCAATAACATTCCTGTGTTTATTAAGATTAATTATGTATGGTGGCCATCTTGAATTGGGGTGACTCAAGTGGTATGAAAACATGTGAAGACTGGACAAATGCCTACCCACCTCACCTGACAATATTACTTAAAATAAATATAAATAAAAATAATAATACAGTAATAATACTCAAAATAGACTGATTTTAACGCCTTTATTAACAAAATAACAATCACAAACCAGATGAGGCAATAAATTCCTTCATGTTTATCAAAACAAATCGGTTTTCTCTGGTTACTTCGGTTTCCCCCACAGACCAAAAACATGTAGGCTGCCTTCAGGCCCAAAGCTCTTTTGTAAAAGAGATCTGTGATCTCAATGAGATTACCCTGGGTAAATAAAGGTAAATTAATTAATTAATTAAAAAACAAGCTCTTTTGGCTTTAGTCCTTTTTTCAATAACTGTAAAAAAAACTGTATTTGTATCAGGAGGTGACTTCTGTATTTCTTAAATTATCTATATATTTCAACAAAAGAAATCCCCTGAAATCTAGTATTTTTTATTTTTATTTTGATGTGCCACCCCCCAGGATTATCAGTGACCTCCAACATACGTCTGGGGTTTCCTGAACAGTATCTGACTGAATTCACTTTATTTTCATTAACATTTCTCCAGTGGTTCATGAGTTACTTTTGCTGACAGACACACAGACATGGCCAAAAGCATTCTTATCCCATCCATGTGGACATACTGACAGCAGATAAAAAATGCATGCACAAAGACACACACACACACACACACACACACACACACACAC